TCTTTATATCAGTTCATTTCCTTTAGGCTAATTTTCACAGGTGAAGAAAAGGAATTGATCAGCATGTTTTGTCTCTGACATCCCACCTGCTATCCCGTGGCCCCTGTTCTGTGCTTCAGCTCCTCCACACTGCTCCACACTGACTCATTTTTATAGAGCTGGCCAAATACATGGGCCATATTATTACCCAGAGAGACTTTATTCAGAGTGAAAGATTCCAAAGCATAGACAGCCATGACAGAAGTCTGAGAAGGCCTCAAGCACTCACCCCAACAATAGTGGAAAACAATAGTTCTCTGCATGTGCTGTAAGCCTGGGGCATTCATGAGTCGCTATGGCTAGCTGTGCCCAGTGAGATTCAAAGGCTGGAAGTGAGTCAGGTGAAGTTTGCAAGTGAAGTTGTGGTCCCTCCTTTCTTTCTCCTTCTTGTGAAGATACTCCCCAGACTTCCCACCTTGGGGACACTGAGAACTTTCCTTGGCCCTTGGACACCCACATCCACCATCATCACCACTTTAGTTGTGTGCTTCATCCACAGGAGCCAGTAAAGGTGTAACAGAGTGGAGACCTTACATGAGAATTAGTACTTGTGCAGACAGCTTCCAAGAAGAAAATTCATCAGCACTGTTTTTTCTTTTTGTTTTTCCTCCTTCTGTTACTCCCACCCCCTCCTTTCATGCCAATACAGGGCCCAGGTCATTTGTAGTGAACTATATCTGCAGTATTTTAGTGTTTTTTGGTTTGAGACAGGGTCTGGCTAAGTTTCTAAGATACATGACTGAAATTTGTCATGCAATCATTCTGCCTCAACTTACCAGACTGCTGCAATTACAGGTGTAGTACATGTTTTTCTTCTCAATAGTTCAAAGAATTGTTTGTGAATTATTTCACTGAGTGTTTACAATTTTGTATCATGCTTAGGAGTATCAGTTTCACTTGTCTACATAGCAAATAAGAAATCCTGAATTGAAGAAAAATGGGTCAAGAAAAGTAGATGGCACTAAGTTCCCAAATTATTTTAATATACATCTCAAATGAGAAAAATACATATGACCAATTAAAGAACCAATAGCAGACAGTTTCAAAAAAATAAAAAAATTGGTACATAATCCCTACAAAGCTGAAAAAGAGCATGCATAGAAAGGAGCATGTTGTACTATAGAAAACTGTTATTTTACAAGAACAAGTAGAAATTTAAACACAATGAACTACCATTAAGCCCTCTATTTACTTGACAGCACATGGCTAGGTAGATTTTTTTTTTAATTTTAGCCATTCAGATGGGTGTTTACATGCTTAGAGGTCTCCCACTATTCCTTTTTTATTCCCCAAATAATAACGACATTTAGAAACATTATACATTTAGTAGTATTTTTGCCCTCTGCTTTTGTGAAACGCCTTTTCCACACCATTTTAAAAAGTAGGTTTTCCTTCATTTGCTTGTTGCCTTGGTGGAAAAATTGAAGAGTACATAGCCTTCTGAAGCACACATTGAAAAATTATAAATAATTGGTGTATAATCATAATGCAAATCTCAAACTACAAAATAGAAATGAAAACATAGAGTTCTTTCTCTTACCAGTATGTAACTGTGTAGAATTTAATATAAAAATTTAATCTCCCCAACATGTTTGGTATGATATAGCCCAAATTGTCTATAATCAAACTGGGTGTTACAATAAATGTTAAACAGCTCTTCAATGATGATAAATTGTACTTTTAATAAATATAATGATGCTATTATAATGAAATAGAACATTGCAAAGCACACAAACCCCAGAATTGAAGAAAGAAAATTCTGTGCAACAGAAGGGAATCAAGAAAAGCAAAATCAGGCTAGGGTTTAGCTCAGTGGTTCGGTGCCCTGCCTTGCAAGCACAAGGATCTGAGTTCAATCTCCGGTACCAAAAAACAAACAAACAAAGCAAGAAAAGCAAAATCAAACAATTATTTGCTCATCTCAGAGAGCTAATACCTGTGAGCAATACACGTGGGAATGGCTTTTCTTCTATGAATAACTATGATAATGAGCTAGGGAGTTCAGATGAAACTGTCAAATTACAAAATGACAGCAAAACTGGCAGAATAGTTTTGTAATGATGAAATTGAATCAATTCTTAAAATTATTTGTCTCAAATCCTTCAACCCCTGTTGGCTTCATTGGAGAATTGTAACAAACATTGGTAAAAAATTAAAACCCAAATACAGAAACTTAGGGCACAGAAATATTTGGAACAATCTCTACTATTGCTTGGATAATACTTGAGCAGAAGCTGGTAAGCAGAGGGCATCCTTCTTATCACTCTCCCTGCTCACACACCAGGGGTGGTTTTACCTCCATTTCTTTGTGAAATACTTCTTCACTATCAGCCTATTCCATAGCATGGATTTGAACATATTCTCCTGTTCCTGGAAGCAGCCCAAGAAGAGGAAAATAAGGGGCACCTTAAAGAAATGAAGAGTCAGACTCTCCTCATGTCTGTCCTTCTCCCTTGTTCACTCCAGTGTGGCATGGGAGCACTTTTACCATAGCCAAAAAGACTATTAAATTCTGGCCATTCCAGGGTGATACAGATTGATTAAAATACAAACAAAATACAAACTTCAATTTATTTCACATTCCCTAGTCACATTCCCTAGCAAAAAAATGCCTTGATAACCTCAATAATTTAAAAATCTCTCAGTGAGTTTGGCTTGGGTATTCTCATAAATGATGAAAAATAAAATAGTTCAATAGTTAAAAAATGCATCACCAGGTGTCTGTAGATCTAAGGTAATTATTCTGTGCTAATTTTATGCCTTTTCAGTTTAAGGAATAAAAATAATCAACATGAAATGTTTTTCACATTATTTGGTAAATGGAGTTAATAAGGTGGCAACTGAGCAGTTTGCTATTTGTCGGAATGACCAGTGACAAAAAATAGTGCTTTCTTCAAGTACCCACTGTTATTGATCCCACAGGGACAGGGAATGCAAGTGTTATAATGATGAACAGTCGCTCTCAGTGAAAATGAAGCTTATAGGGAAATTCAAGGAAGGAGCTGTTCATACAGTACAAGGTTCCTTCCCTTTAGTCTGATCAGTGAACACCAGAGGCTGGGATATGCATTAGTTTATACCAGGAAGCTGTTTGTCTTCGTGGGTCCTAGACACTGTTCTAGCATTGTGGTTACTACAGCTCTCCACGGATGAAAATAAAAACAAACAAGGATTAGGAAAGTAGCTGCATTTTTATGATAATAGTATACACAAATACATACATGAAAAATGCACATGATCAATAAGTTTGGGAAAATGGATTTTGGAATCATGTCATAATCAGAAGAATGTAATTTTTAAAGAGTTATTAGTATATTTGTTTTATAAATTAGGAAACATGATACATCAGTGGCTCCTGACAATTAACAATATAAAACCAGTTATTTCTCTAAGGATTTGAATAAATGATATTCGTCACAAATCCAGTTTGTAATTTTAATTAACCAACTTTATGCTTGGCAGTGTATTAAATATGGTCTCCTTTCTGTTTAGGATTCAACTGGAATTTATTTTTCAGTAAAAGTTTAGTCCTATTGTTCCTTAGGAGAATACGGTTTTGCTTTATTTTTGATTTGGGGTGATTGTATGAATTTATAGAAGTGTGATTTATGGTGGAAAAATATGAGAACTCAAGCAATGTAATGCATCAATTGTATGTTCCACATTGTTCTATATTTTATTTGTTATTTGGTATAAAGTTGATGAGTTTATAAGTTTTTAAAGGTCATTTTAAACTGTGCTGAGTATGTGCAGAGTGACAGACTCAGAGAATCATAGTATGCCTAATTTACCATTAAGTATTCATTTTATTTACAGAGTCCTTGATCAGATGATATCAAAGTAATTGAAATGGCAGAGGAGAAAGTGAATTTAAGACTGAAATCCACAACTGCTACAATTAGAGGTCCAGGGATTTGGCTCAGTGGTTCTGCTGCCTGCCTTGCATGTGCAAGGGCCTGAGTTCCAACCCTGGTACAAAAAAAAAAAAAAAAAAAAAAAAAAAAAAAAAAAAAAAAAAAAAACAACAACAAAAAGTGCTACTATTAGAAAGCTACCATAACATGGCAGGTACTACATAAATATTCTTTGGGTTAACCAATTACACAGTCAAAGTAAAACACCGAAACTGTATAATTAATTATGCTAATTCCAGTTGATAAAAAATTATGTTTTATGTGGTATAATAACTTAAAAATCTATAGCTACCAAATAACCATTGACAGATATGTATAACTCACTTAACAATTAAAATTTTATAACCAGTAGATACTTGATGTCCTATTTTCACATTAAATAAAAATATGCTTATTTGAAAAGTTACTAATCTTTTTATATTTCTCTCCATAATTGGCTATCAAAGGATTTTAATACATAAATCTCAATTGCTTGACATTCAAGTCCATATAAGACACACATCAGAACTTCCCTTTTTTTTTTTTTTTGAGACGGGGTCTCGCTATGAAGTTGAGACTGACCTGGAACTCACTATGTAGCCCTGGCTGGTCTCGAACTCATAGGGATCCTCCTGTCTCAGCCTCCTGAGTGCTGGGATTACAGGCAGGTGCCACCACACCTGGCACTTCAGAATTTCAATATTGAAAGTTTCATAAGGATTTTGAAGAAGGAAATGTATCACTTAACAACTTCCAGAAGGTATGAGGTAGAAAAGGCGGAAGACTACTTGATTAAGCACTCGTCCCATACTAAATGGGGAGTCGGCAATGGGTCAACTTCTAGTAACTCAGGTAGTCTCAACCCTAATAGAAGTTCACTTAGCCGGCTCAGCTCCCAGTCACATGTGGTATCAGTGGTATTCAAATTGCTAGGTCCAAGCGCTGGCCGGTTGCCATTCTCTACTGCCACCAGCAGGGGCACTGTTGGACCTCCAGGCCAGGCCTCTTCTGGACCCCGGAAAATTCTCAATTCCCTTCCGGTCCTATTTCCGTTCCTAAGACAGAACTTCCGGGAGCAACAGAAATAAGGGTGATCCAGCTACCAACTCTCTCTGGTTTGCTCATCTATGTGATTCTCAGTTCGGAAACAAATGCCGTTGGGTGTTGAATTCTGTTGCCAGTTTAATTTTTTTATTTTCCTTTCTGCACGGAAAGCATCCTTCTCCGTTAGTAATGGTTTCCTGGATTGCGTTGGGAAGGCGGCCTTCATGAGAAAACCGTTCCCAGACAGGTATCGTGTCTTCACTTTTCAGAGGGTTTTGATTTTTTTATGTGGCACTAGTATTGTTTATCTTTCCTATAGATCCCAAATATATATCGAGCTAATGAAATATTTTAAATTCTCAGTAACTGGCGAGGCCTGGTGGCACACTCCTCCCAGCTACTGAGGAGGCTGAGGCAGGAAGGTCACAAGTACTATGCCAGGCTGGGCCATTAATTTAGTGAGACCCACTCTTTAGAGAGGAGGCTGGGACTCGGGAGGTAGCTTAGTAGTTGAGCGTGCGGAGGCCCAAGGTTAAACCCCCATTTGGAAAAACATTCAGTATCTGTCAGCACATCATTTTTGCATTTTTATAAATAAAGAGATCTTTTATTTGATTGACAATAGCGACAAAGCCAAGCAAGGGCAAAAAGCCAGAAGTGCACATGAAAATAAGAAAGCCAAAAATACATTTAAAAATGTAGGTAGAGGGGCCGGGGATTTAGCTTAGTGGTTCTGCCGTCTGCCTTGCAGATGCAAATACCAGAGTTCAATCCTCAGTACCAAAAAAAAATCTAGATAGATAATGAGATAGATAGATGGATGTGCATTAAAGCAGTATGAACACATTCACAGGCAAAACATGAGTGTTGTTATAGTTCTTGATCTGACGCTAATGTTGAAAAGGATAAGAACTTGTTAAAATTATTGCTCAAAAAATGAAGTGACTGTTGTGTTACCTACACCAAATTATGCCTACAATCCTATATTTATAGAATATATAATAATAACGTCTTACTTTGGAAAACATGTTTTGTTGGTGAAATGATTTATAGAAACTGTATATCACAACCATTTCAGGAACAGGAAAATGAACGTGAGTGAAAATAATAGGAATGTTTACATATAGGTATTTAATAGAAGTATTTTTGATAGTCAATTATGAAATGATATGGTCTGACAAATTAACTTGATAAAAATGCATATATAATATATAATAATAAGTATTAACTGACATTTAGTATAAATATACTATATATTTAGTAGAAGTTAAACAAGATAAGACTTTCATGTGTTGACAACAGAGTTGGGAAGAAGTAGGAAATGATCTTTTTTGTCCCTTTATGAATATATCTGAAAGTTCATAACAAAATGACTCCCTTTATTTGTTCTCTCTTCTCAAATATTTTTCAAGTATTCTTGCTTGAAATCAAGTAAGTTGATTAAGCCTAATTTCCCTTTGCCTCTCAGTTGTTTAGGTATATATTCTTCTCTGGTTGCAAAAAACGTTAAGTTTACAGTTTGATAAATGGTGCAAGTTATATAATTTATATCTAAGATAATATGTGTCATTTTTTACTTCCAAGATCCAGCCTTTCAAAATGAAGTATGAGGAAAAAGTAGTCTTTGTACACATCCATATAATTTTCCTCTGCATGCTCTTGTTCCCTTTAGGTAGTTTTCCATCAAGGATGTTTTCTCTTCAGTCTGAAGAATTTCTTGTACGATTGTGTGTACTGTTTGAATGGGAACAGATATTCTCAAGTTTGTTTCATCTCGCTGTCAGTCTGGAAAGATAGTATTTGGGTTAATGTATAATATGAGGACTGTTTTTAATTTTTATTTCAGTATTGGAAAGTTGCGGATCCATTTTTACCATTTCTCCAAGTATGGTTTGAAACAGTAACTGTCAGATTCCGGAAGTATCAGGTAATGTACTTTAATTTTCCTAAGCATTTCATGGGTATATCCTTGTATACATCACCAATATTCTTTGTATTTCACATTCAATATATAGCTTTGGAACACAATAAAAGTATAATAGCTATTTAATCGATCCAATTTTAATGTATTTGTAGAAAGAAAATTTGTCAAAAGTAAAATGAAAAGTCTCATGAAAAAATTTTTTCCAGAAGCCAAAATAATTCAATTTTTATTTCTTAGTCAGATATGTGCAAATGTGTTCACTCATGAATAAAGTAAGTGATGCATTTTCCAAGCAAAATATTAATATAGTTTATTTTAATTGTTAATTTGATGCAGTTTTTGACATGTATGAGAAGTTGTATGAGAACAGATACAATTTTGCTCAAACAAAATGAAGTGACGCACGTTAAAGCAAAATATTTCAAATCTACAATAATTATATATATTCATTAGCATTCAGGTATGGCAAATACCTCCTAATTTGAACTGATTTATATAAATAATACATATTAGGCAATCTGTATACATTTTTGTGAAAATAAAAATGTATGTATGGACTTTGTACATGTGATGGTTTTGGTATTTCACATATTCACAAAATGATAGAATATTTAACCAATCATACATCAAACAATTCTGAAAGGACATGAAAACAAGAACAATATATTTCTGTTTTTCTGTAGCAAGGGCTATGGCCATTATCTTTTGTTTGGCAGGGATGCAATAGTATTCAAGGAAGTTGGGAAACTGTAGTAGAAAAAATGGAAGGCTTTGAGGATACCCTGGTAGTATGCTTTGGCTTGGTAAAGATAGAGACCAGCTAGAAGTGGAACCTTGTATAAGATTGACTAGGGGAGCATATTTGGTCCCCTCCACTTGGTCCCAAGTTTGAAACAGGGTCCACAGTGAAGAATGTTGGCAGTTATTGACCAGGTGCTCGGTGTCGGAGCCTGGTCACTGTAGAATTTGTGGTTTGGCTTCATTGGCTTCTTGCTGCATAAGCGGTTGTTATTTATGTTCTGCTCATTCTCGGTCTCTCTGTTGTGCCTTACAGTAGATACAAAAGTAACTGTACAGGGAAAATGAATATATTTAATGTGTTTGATAAATATAACATTTAAATAAATACTAAGCTTTTCTTTTTATCATGATACCACATTACTGAGAAAGAAAAAAATGGTACTGGGTTTTGGGAAATTAAACTCATATTTTTAAGCAAATTAAAACTTTTTCCTACCAGTTATAAATGGTAATTTTTCTTCTAGGACTATATTCAACAAAACTACTCACAAATATTCATAAAGTTTTGGTTAATGGTGAAAGGTCTGTTTTTTGTTTTTCATTTTACTTGAAGGGAAGGGGGTGAGATAGGGTCTCTCTGTGCAGTGTAGGCTGGCTTTGAACTCAGTGTGTAGCCCTCTCAGGCCTCAGACTCATGGCCATCCACCTCCTGCCTCAGCCTCCCCAGTGCTGGGATTTCAGGCATGAGCCACTATGCCCAGCTGAAAGATGTGTTTTTCATTAAATTGTGTTGTGTTCATACAGTCAGAATGCAGCTCATACATACTTGCAGAGCCTATGTTCGATTAGTATTACTTATAAAGAAAAACATTTTGTTTCACATGTATGTATATAAACACATCACATATGTCAATGAGCCCAGCACCTCACTTGTGCTAGACAAGTGCTCTACCACTAAGCCACAGCCCTGGCCCTTCTGTTTGTGAAGTAAGCAATCACCTTGGACATTTGTCTTCCTGTGCCTAACTTTTTAAGCTGTAGAATTTTTTTAAAGCCAAATAATCTTCTGAAGAGTGGATCATATTCATCTTTCTTTGTTTAATATATTTCTGTTAAATGTTTTCATTGATTTCCCAGTTCCCAGCATGTACTAGGTATAGACTATGAGGTGGGAGTACAGTACAGCAAACAAGTAAATGTGGCATATGTCAGAGTGTTGAAGTTTGGTAGTAATTTTTAAAGCTCCATTAATAGCTGGGCTTGGTAGCACACACTTATAATCCCAGCACAGGAAGGCTGAGGCAGGAGGATCATAAATTTAAGTGCCTCCTGGGCACTTTAGCGATACTTTGTTTCAAAATTACAATAAACAGACCTGGGAATGTAGCTCATTATGACAGTCCTGTGCTCAATCCACAGTACAAAATAAACAAGATACATTACTAATTAAAATATTACTATACCTCTTTGTGGTAGGATTACTGGTTGATCTAGCGACTGGCATATGGATCCTTTACTTTTCTTCATCTCCTTAAAATAAAGAAATTATCAATTCATGTACATGCAACTTCACAAGAAGAAAATTTCATTTCTCCTTTTTTGTAGTTTTTGCCCTATGTATTATTTAGGCATTATATTGAGAAATTTGTATTGATAATTTATTTGTACCTTTACTATTTAAATGAAACAATTGTATATAGTTAAATGTGGGTGATTTTTGCAATGAGGTATTATATACAAAATACTACTTAGCAATATTTAATTAGAAATATCATTTCTTAGGCAGTGTGTGTGTGTGTGTGTGTGGTATAAGGGTTAAACTCAGGCCTTCATACTGATATATTTCCCTTGCTTTTTATATTTTTTGAATCAGGGTCTCCTTCAGTTATCTAGGTTTGGCTAGCGCTTGCCATCTCCCTGCTTCAGCCTTCCAGAGTGCTGGAATTACAGGCATTCACCACCACAGCTGGCTGTCAGTTTTCTTTTAATATTCTACTTTTCACTTGAATTTTTCCTTCACATATTGTTTACATAGAACTATATAGCTTGATTTCCACATTTAATTTTTCTGCTCATTTCTCTTTGTTGTTGATTTCCAATTTCAGTTTGTTGTGCCAAAGAACATACTTCATTTTATTTAATTGTTTTTATTTTATTGAGATTTCTTCTGTGGCCTGTTATGTGGTTTTTGTTGGAAATATTCCAGGTATACCCACAAAGAATGTATTTTCTACAGTTATTTGGTGAAATATTCTGTAGAGTTCTGCTAGGTGTACTTGATTTTATAATGTTCATATTATATATCAGCATTTTAAAATTTTTCTGCCTAGATGTTTTATACCTTTGGAATGTGAGCTAGCTATGTGAGATGATTGGTGTATAATGATTTCACAGTGTATGCAATTATCAAGCATTGTACACTTTAAATATGTGCAGATTTACTTGTCGGTTATACTTCAGTAGCGCTGGATAGAAATGTTTATAAGGTGATTTATTGACGTTTCCAAATATTATGGTTGAGTTGTCTTTGTTCCCTCCTCCATTTGGTTATTTTTGCTTGAAATATGTTGGAGCTCTGTGGTTAGTATATATCCATTTATAATTTTATGTCTTTGTGATCAGTTGACTGTATTTATTCTCATAAACACTGTTTTTTTGTACCAGGGATCAAACTCAGTACCTTGTACTTGCAAGGCAGGCACGTCACCCCTGAGCTAAATCCCTGGTCTTGTTATCAACGTTAAATAACATTTTTAGAAAAATGATCAATTTCTCTGATGTTAAAATCATTCCTATTTTCTTATGTTTGATTTCTTATATACTTTTTCCATTCTTTCAGTATACTTGCATGTTGAATATAATGTGTCTCGTGAAGTGCTGATATTTGTATCTTATTTTTTTATTTAGTCTAAAATTATTTTTCTTTCCTTGAATTGCTTAATCCATTCACATTTAATATTCTTTTTTTTTCTTTTTATTGAGTTTATTGGTACAATCTAGGTATACAATACAGTTACATTCATCATTGGGATTCTATACCTTTACATAGTAGGTCTTGATTCTCATTTTTTCCCCTTGTCCCTGCCCTCCCTTCACCCCCTCCTCCCCTCCCCATTTACAAGCACTTTATTTCCATTTTTTCAGTTTCTCATATTTTTTTTTACATTTAATATTCTTGATGTTGGATTTATGTCCACCAGTTTGCTTTCGATAGGACTCGTGATTATTTTTGTCTTACGTTTCTCATTAAATACGTTTTCATTGAATAATTTTGTTACATTTTAGTGTCTTTGATCATTTTTCCATGCTTTTGTGTTATTAGACAGATTTATGTCTCTGATTTACAGATTTAATGTATCACAAAATGCTTCAGATTGACACTAAATTAATCTATACATCTGTTCGGTTGATCCATGTGTATCTAGTAAGATACAGAAAAGTCCTATGGTACCTCCTGCATGTTGGTATTTTTATATATATTATGTTTATATATGTTACAGGCAAAAATACATTGCTACACATGTTTTTGTGTAAATCCTATGTCAATTAAAGAATGTAGGAAAGTGAAATGCATTTATAGATTTCATATTATTTCATATAAAAATTCTTACCCATTATTTATCATTGCCTTTCTTGCTGTGAATTTGTGTTCCTTGTGTTTTTTGTTTTTTTTCTTTCTTTCTTTCTTTCTTTGCAGCACTGGGAATTGAACGCAGGGCTGCATGCTTTCTAGGAATGCACTCTACCACAGTGCTGTGTGCTTTCATCCCTATCTCTTTTCATTTTCTATTTTTATTTATTTATTTTTTTGTTTTTGGTACCAGAGATCGAACTTGGGTCCTTTCGCTTGTCATTTTCTATTTTTCTTTTGACACATGGTAATGCTAGGTCCCTAAGATTCCTTGAGTGTCCTGGAACTTGTGATCTTCCTGCCTCAACTTCTTGCGTAGCTAGAATTACAGGTGTGTGCTCTCATGCTCAGCTTGATTTAAATTTTTTATTCCTCTTGCGTTTTATTCACTACACCCTTCTTCACGTTTTTATTGCCAAACGTTTGTTATTTTATATGACTTTAACACAGTTTTAGAGTCGTGCAGATGTCTTGTTGAGCAATGTCGTGTTTTTACCTCATGTGGGGAGGTTCCAGCTATTATCCCTCTGGATATATGTTTCTGTCCTGCTCTGTTTTCTTCTGCATATGTTGGTGTTCTTTTAATTTTTTTTTTTTTTTACACTTTTTGAGAGAGGTCCTCACTATGGAG